GGCGTTTAGAGCTTTCCTGCCAGCTGCTCTGGGCCACACTTCTGAGAGCCCTTGATATGTTGCAACCTTAGGCAGAAGCCTGTTGGGCTGTTTTGTTTTGTTTTGTTTCAGTTGCGCCTGTACCCAAGAGAGCCGAGACTTAAATGTCTTCACTGGGTTCTTTGCTGCCTAAGAGAACCAGATTCTAACGAGTCTCTCTCTCTCTCTCTCTCTCTCTCTCTCTCTCTCTCTCTCTCTCTCTCTCTCTCTGTGTGTGTGTGTGTGTGTGTGTGTGTGTGTGTGTGTGTGTGTGTACCCGCCCGCCCGGGTGCGCTTATGGGCTGTCAGATAGGGAACTGCTCCTAAGGTGACACAAACGATCTATTTCAAGAAAGCTGCTGTCTGGCCTCTGTGCGACTCTACTATCCCGGTCCTGCAGCGCTGAAATTGAGACTCACTAAATTTCAGTGTTGAGACGGTGGCAGGAAGGATCATGAACTCTCCCTTGGTCTCCAAACAGCCCTGGGCCCCGGGGAAACAAAAGGAATGTTCCCTTGGGCCTCAGGTCCAAGCTGCATCCTTCTACTTAAGCTGTCAGAGGCTAGTAGGTTGCGCGGGGAGGCAGGTCGGCCCCTTGAGTGATGGTTCTGGGCAAAGGGCCTTCGCCTCTGCTGTCTCCTCCTCTCCTTTGAGCTTTTCTCACGCTCCCCCACTCCTCAAAGCGCAGGAAATCACAATGTGTTAATGTCGTAGAAAGACAATCTGCTGGGGGTGGGGGTGAGGTGCCCAAGTGGGAAGGGGTAGGGAAGGCAGCGTTGGAAATGTAATAAAATGCCTTTTGGTTTTGCTTTCAGTCGGGGCTGTCCGAGGGCAAGGGAAAGACGAGTCAAAGGTGGAAGATGACCCGAAGGGCAAGGAAGAGAGCTTCTCTCTGGAGAGCGATGTGGACTACAGCTCAGATGACAATTTGCCTGGCCAGACAGCTCATAAGGAGGAAGACCCCGGCCACGCACTGGAGGAGACCCCGCAAAGCGGCGGTGCAGCAGGCAGCACCACATCCACGGGCAAGAACCGGCGGCGGCGGACTGCCTTCACCAGCGAACAGCTGCTGGAGCTGGAGAAAGAATTCCACTGCAAAAAGTACCTCTCCCTGACCGAGCGCTCCCAGATCGCCCACGCCCTCAAACTCAGCGAGGTGCAGGTAAAAATCTGGTTCCAGAACCGCCGGGCCAAATGGAAACGCGTCAAGGCAGGCAATGCCAATTCCAAGACCGGGGAGCCCTCCCGGAACCCCAAGATCGTCGTCCCCATCCCTGTCCACGTCAGCAGGTTCGCTATCCGAAGTCAACACCAGCAGCTGGAGCAGGCTCGACCCTGAGGGCCCAGCCAGGGTGGACACTGTCGTGGAGAGGCCCTAAAACCCGAGGGAACCCGTGGCAGACTCCATTCTCCACTGTTTAAAGCAGAACTCAAGGCACCTCCCAGATGTGGACATCCCAAGCAAATTGAGAATATATTCACTAGACGGGCTTAAAGGGGCTACAGCCACACCAGAAGATACACTAAATATTTATTATACAACCCTACTTTGTACATAGATATCTATATAGACTGGATCTCAGCTGCAGTATTTTGAAAGGGATAGGACCAAACGTCTCCACTCACACATTCCAGATGAAACCACTGTAGTCTGTCGCCCCAGGCGACCACCTTTCCATACTTTCCCAAAGGTAAACGGGAGACACAAGAACAAACACTGGGGTTTAAACTTATTTTTTTTTGTTTTTGTTTTTTTTTTTATTCTGGCTTTTTGATTTGAGCATCGAGCAGACTTTTGGGGCAGTCTAGGAATCTGCTCTGCTCATTTGCCTTTGCCTGGCTTTCTTTCCTGGGCTTGTATATCCTATCTGAGCCATGTCGGAAGCACGTCTCCGTTGTGTTTAATTTATTTCAATGTAGCTTATTTTCATATAAGTTATGACATTTAAACAATCTCAGTCTTGTGAATAATAAAAACAAAAGCAAGAAAAAACACATAAGCTCGATCCTTGGGGCCTCATAGAGTGCCCACCACCTGGGCACTTTGAGGGCACTGCCAGGGTGTGGTCAGTTAGGGAGCTGGGACCAGGATGGAGGCTAACTGGCCATAAGCCACGTAGCACTTTAACAGGCTTTTAATTGGAGAGTAGAGCTACCAGTTTAAGAAAGCCTAGTTTTAATTTTAGGTATCTTGCATGTCCCCTTTTTGCATGGCCTTATCAATAATAGTCTGGGGACTGGCAAACTTTGGCCAGAGAAGGAGGGAAAGCAAGCGCGGGTGGTGGTGGGTTTGCACAAACTCAGGGTTTCCAAACCCGATGCAGCCAGGGAGAAGAAACGCGTTTCCTTACAAGAAACTCCGACCCTAAATGCAGTGGTGCTCGCTCGCTCTCAGGGCCTCGGGTCCATAAATCAGTCTGCAGGCGTTATCTTCCGACAGGAGCCGGAACCCAGCAAGCCCTGCGAGGCTTCCCGGCAGCTCTGAGCTTGGAGGCGGCTGGAACTTCAAGGCCCCACACTTCCCCTCCGAGCGGGGCCGGAGGGAACGGGTCCTGACCACTGCCCCACCTCAGGGGCAATAGCCCTTCAAACGGAGAAGGGGAAAGGGACCCTGGTGAGTTGGTCGTGGGTTGGTGCGCAGGAACCTAGTAATAGGTCGTCTTTCTGTGTTGGAGGGGCGGCCTATAAAGCGGGGGAGGGGCGTACCTTGCTCCTCTCCACCTCCTCTAACTTTGGTCCAGTGACCGAAGCTGGGTCGCACTGAAGCGTCCAGTGAGACGCCAAGGTCTGGAGCTGCCAAGACTGCGGTGCACAGAACCCGGGTATCCCGGAAGTGTGGAGCGTGCTAGCGTGCTAGGTTTAAAGGTCCTTCTGGCCTTTAAACCTGCAGCCCAAAGAGAAGCTAGCGACTCCACAACATCAGCTTTCCAAATCGAAGGATGGGGGAACCCCTAGCAAAGCAGTCGTGAGGTACACGCTGTGGTTTCCAGCCCAAGAAAGGGGAGTCGCATTGCTGTGGGTCAATTCTGGCTTATATTTTCCAGTTGCTTCGATCACCTCTCACCTCTCAGCGGCACAGGGGTCGGATCATAGAGGCATTTGCCCAAACTTCAGGTGCAGGGTGGAGGGCCAAAGTCAGAGTCACGGTTTCTTTCCGAATATTTCCAATATTGGAAAATGCTCGAGTTGGGGTTTTTAGGACAGTGCAATGGAGTGGCCTTTCCTCCTAGGGTTAGGGCAGGCTTTGCTGCCCTCCACCCAGTGCCAGGAAGAGCCAAGGAAAAGGAGGGTTGTGTCTTGCACAGGCACAACTAGTCTATAAGGACCAGCGGCTTCCTCAGATCCGCAGCCCCGACCCCCTGCCCGCGCCAGTGTGCATAGAGTCCTGGTCACCGGTTGACACTATCTGCTTCAGCCAGGTCCTCAACTGGCAGTGTCAATGTGGGTGCTAAAAATTCTAGTTCCTCAGGGATGCCAAGCCCTCTTTTCTACACACACAACACCTGGACCAGTCCTTCCAGGGATGGTCCGCAGAGGGGTTGTGACTGAAAACATAGAGTTCAGCAGGAGACTGAGAGAGATGTAAGGTGAGATGGTCTCCTGTCCCAGCCCCAGTGGCACTGCAGGTCTGGGAGAGAGACCCTGAGTACCAGTGCTCAATGCTTCCCCAGATCCCAGGACTCCTCCTGTTATGCACCCCCCTCTCTCTCAAAGCCTCTTTTCAGGGATGGTGGTGGAAGCCCTCACCCACACAAACCCCTTGAAAAAGCAAAACTCCCCAGAAATAGGCAGCCGCCTTCGGGGACCCCCACTGTCTCACCCTTTAGAAACATAGACAGGGTCCTGAGATACTGCATGCCCTCCTGCCCTTTTGGGGGCTGTCCCTTTCCTCCCCAACCCCCGGGGACCCTGGCACCCTGGAGCCCACAGCCGGAGGCCCTGGAGACAGGCTGAGGGCAGGAAGATAAACAGGCAGCCCTTGATGGCCGCTGTCATCATGGCCGTCATCATGGCTTTCATTTGGCTGCCTAATGAGTCACATCACAGGCAGAGAGAAAAATTGTCAATCGCCTGGGCCCTAATGAATTTTTTTGCAAATTGTAATCAAGCCAGGCCGTCTCAGCTGGCTGATTAATGAGACCCACGAGGCTCGGCCAGCACCTCAGCTTTTTATTCCATCCCGTCCTCCCCGCACTAAATTAACAGCAACTTGTCTGAGCTTCAAATTAACTCCCAATGATTAATTCTGATGGGGGGGCCTGAAGAATAGCTTGTTCTAATAGGCTCTGGCCTGAGATGCTGTTGGAAATTAATACACTTCCCCTTTGGCTGCCGGCTTTAATCCAAGGTTGGGTTTTGACATCACTATATTTGTTGTTACAATAAATCCCACTTACATCTGCAGATCAAATAATTACGACCAGGAGTGCACAGACCTGGGCCCCCCACTGGTGGTGCAGTGGGACACCTGGGGGCTGACCTCAGATCCACATGGGGGGGGGGGTCCTGGGAACAGTCACCTGACCCTGTGACCCTTTTTCTCATTTCCCAGAATCCTTCCATATCAGGGAGTTGAGCATCTCCAACCCTTTGGAAAACTGAGGTTGCTTTGAAAGCCTATATCAGATCTTTATCCAAGCAGCTTGCTCCTCCAGCTCCCCTTGAAGACTGGGAATCCCTTCCAAGCAAAGCTGCCTCTGTGTGGGTGTGGGTGGAGGTGTGGGGGTGATCTCCAGCCCTAACCTAGAATTGGAATTTACAAGATTGTCACCCAGCCACCTACTCTTTAGCCCACTAGTGTGGTTCCTTCAGGGTGCCTGTTCAGCTAAATAGGCCGGGTGCAAGGTTTTCAGGCCTTCCATCTGGGACTGGCCACTCTCGACCAGCCTAGCTCTGGTTACGTGCCCTGCCTTCCAAGACGCCCTTTCTCTGGAGGTCAGCACTTGCTCCCTTTTCCTTTCTGTTTGCTGGAGCTTAATTGGCTTAATCATCATTTCAGCTGTGTCTGAGGAACCCGATAAGGGGCCACCAAGGCTGCTCTCCTGTTAGCCCCATGTGTGATCAAGGCAAGCACAGGGTGTGCTAAAGGTTGGGAAGGACACTCTGGCTCACATTCTAGTTCTCCCCCTTTAGGACTTTCTAATCTCTCCCAATCTGTCTTGGGGGCCTGAAGCCTCTAGCAGCCCTGCCAGCCAACTTGGCTTCTGCACTTTCTCCTTTGAGACACTGGCTATGACATGGCCAAGCGACCTGTTGGACCCAGTTGTGTGGCCTTGGGGAAAGGGTTGCTATGCACATATACCTTTCACTATCCTTGGAGACCATAGTCCTCTGCCCAGGTATGCACAGCTGAGGCAGGTGGCCCCCTCACACCCCTGGAGCTTTGGCCAGCAGAGCCTTCCCTTCCACCAGCTCACTGGGGTTTAACCTGGGCAGCCTTTGGGATCCAGGAGGGAGTCACAGCCAGGGTCGACAGTGATAGCCTGGACAGAGAGAAGTGGCATTAATCTTCATTTTGGGCCCTTATGGTGTGTAAACAGGAGAAATATGATCTTGGTAACTGAACATGAATGCAAATCACACCGTCAGAGTAATAAAGCACCTGAAACCACGACACACAAAAGCAACACCATATGTATGAAGACAACTTGCATAAATTATAAATTACATCATAAAAATTGATTGCCTATTTGAACGGTTTAGAAGTGGGAGACCTAAGCTGGCTTCTGCCCTCTGTGGCTTTGGGGAAAGGTCAGGCTGTGCCTTCTCCCTCTGCAGGCCCCAACCCGAGGTCCTGGCTTCAGGTTGCCGTGGATAGCACATGAGACAGCAAGCATGAGATTTTGGAAGACCTGCATCTGGTGGGTTGTGACGACAAGGGCATGGGGGGCTGTTGACAGTCATGGCCTACCAGGTTCCTGGTGCTTCTAGACCTCACAGTGCTGTAGTCCTAGAAGATGCTGACGTTGTCTGGGCATCTCTCTCCGGATGGAGCCCTTCTGTGGTGAGCAAGCATGAGAGAGCTGGTGTTTGCGCCAGTGAGCGCGGTAGTGTGTATGTGATGTGTGATTTCCCCTTCCTACTCATCAGCTTTCTCCACGTTGCTAGATTGACTATAGTCAAGAGTTCGACCTTGCAGTCAGGGCCTGCACGTCCCGCAGAGCTGAGCACCATCATGCTCCCAGAGCTTCTCCACCCTGCAGAATCTCCCTTCCTTGTCGGAATCCCTCCTTGGCTGAGCCTCTGAACTCACCCGGAATCTCTCCCCAGACGCCCCCTACCCTGCCCGATGCCCCTGCTCCACTCCGCCTGAGCTGGAGGGTCCTTAGAAGGACTCCC